TCTCTCTCTCTCTTCTAGCGCTCTTCTTCGCATTCGACCTGCTACCCCATGGATCAAGATCCATGGCGGACGAGAAGACAAGACAAGAAGGTGCAAGGCGAAGGAACGAAGAAAGAGGCAAATGCAGACGACGGCATGTGAGAAGAACAGGGAACGGAGAGAACGTCGAGGGGAGGGACTACGTCGACGCGGACACGTGGAAGATGCCGACGGTGACACGTGGAAAATGGCGACGGACGCACGTAGACGAGGTCAATGAAACACGTGAACGATGGCGATGCATGTAGAGGAAGGACAGGTAGACCAAGAGGAGGAAGAGGAGGAGGAGGAGGAGGAGGAGGAGGACAATCTGATCATAGGAAGAGGAGAGGACGAAAGGAGAGAGGAAAGAGAACGAGGCGAGGGAGGACCTGACACATAGAACGCCAGGTCACTCGCCGGACGAATAAACGGCACAGAAGGCGGAGGAGAAGGCGAGAGAAGTGAGGAGGGAGCGGAGGAGGTGGTGCAGGGGATGGAGATGGACGAGATAGAGGGAGCGGAGATAGTGGAAGAGATAGAAGAAGGGAGCAGTCGAAGAGTACAACTGTTCGTGTTGTTGTTGATGTTGTTGTTGTTGTTGTTGTTGTTGTTGTTGTTTTGTTCCTATTGTTTTCTGTACCGCTGCCGGAGATCGACTGTGACCAAAATGCACATCCGTAGGCAATCCCCCCCCTTCCTCCCATCTCCCCTCCCCCATCCCCCCTCCCAACACCACCAGTATCAACAGAGCGCACTCCGAAATCACCCTTCGCGTACAGTACGCTCTTCCACCCCTCTTCACCGCTTCTCCTCCTCCTACTGCTCCTCGTCTCCTCCTCGCTCCCCACCTACTTCTCAGCGTCTTCTCATTCTCCTCTCTTCTCGTCTCTTGTACTTGTAATCTAGGTAGTCTTAGTACTTGTAATCTAGGTAGTCTTAGTTCTTGTAATCTAGGTAGTCTTAGTACTCGTAATCTAGGTAGTCTTAGTACTTGTAATCTAGGTAGTCTTAGTACTCGTAATCTAGGTAGTCTTAGTACTTGTAATCTAGGTAGTCTTAGGCATATCCAGACCTTCTCCCCCGATCCCCGCCCTAAGTCGCCACTATTTTTTTATTTTTATTTTCTTATCGCCACTACTTTCCACCAACACAAAGCAAATAAATAAAATCGATCATCATCGCGAAGGAGGAAAGCGACTAGATTCTTCCCCAGAGCGCAACACCCGGCCATTGTAGCTGTACCTAGTCCAACGTCCAGGGTAGAGAAATACATACAGTAGTATATCACCGGACGTTGTGTTCATCCGGATAAGGTAGGGGAGGCAAGACGAAGCCGATGAAATGAACGGAGGGGGTAGGAGGAAGGGCGTCGCCACACCACTCTGGAAATGCGGAAAAAGACAAAAATGTGGCCGGTGCACCTGGCCATGTTCTACCGGGAAGTTCATTCTCATTTTCCACATTTCGACAGTGGTGCGGCGATGCCCGAGGAGGAGGAGAACGCCGCCAAGGGGAAAAACAGACCGATTCGCGTTCGCGGAGGGCGACAGGGCAACGACGATGAGAAGGGCAACGACGGGGGGCGGAGGAGGAGGTGGACAAGCACCGAGCAAGCAGGACATGTTAGCCGACAGACAGAATGGGTCAAGGCATGATAGCAAGCACGCGTCAGTCGCGTCCTGCAATTGGAACTCACCCGTAAGATGACTGCCCAGTAGGACAGAACGGGTGGAGAGTGATAGCAAGCACAAGTATGCGTATGCACCCGGAACACACTCACTCGTCTGATGACTAACTCATCTGGCGAAGGAGGGAACAAAAGACAACCGTGGGGTGAAGGGGCCTGGTAGCGCTGACTTTGCAGCGACCCCTCCTCCGGGGCTAGGCCCCCCTCGCACGAATTAAGAGATACGGAACGTAGATAGCAAAGATCAACGGCCGAAATCTCCTACCTTGCGCAAGTGGGCCCTTGCCCCCGCATGGTGCATCGGCCTCGCCGATTGCTGTGCAACCATGCTGCGAAACCCTGTGCATCGGCCCCGCCGCGGACTGTCCACCCCCCCAACCAGACCCGCTGCGCCGGCCCCTACCGGTCGCTGGCCTGCAGCCACCCCTCCAAACTCCCCCATTTGGGCCAAGAAGAGTATTGGCCTAGCAGGCAGGCGGGAGGTCGCGGGTTCGACTCTGTCGAGGTTGACACCCCGCATACATACTTGCCTCCCACCCTGGCACAGTACAGACGAGCTGACATGTTCCTAAACACGGGGCATGTATGGGGTTAGCGGGCAGTACTGTCCCATGGAAACCAATGCGGTGGGGTGTTTCATGGAAGGTGGGTTGGGTTCACAGGGTCCACACGCTGGTGGCAGGGCAGTCTCACAGGAGTTGAGGGCAGATTAGGAAACCATGGCTTTGGATACGGTTGAGGACAGCTGCCAGTACATACGGTTCGAGGGACGAACTGTCCCTTGGGGCTCCTGTGGCAAGGGGTGTCCCAAGGGCTAGTACCAAGGGATAATTCGCTTACACGGGCCTCATCACCGAGGGTGGTGAGGTCATAGTCAGGGCGGAGTGTAGCATAGCGACGTTGTCTATCCTGAATTGTGGGTTGACCCTAGTACATGGGTGGCAGCGTAGTCTCATAGTGACTAAAGGAAGATTAGGATCCTCTGAATACGGTTGGAATACAATGAGGCATATGCATACTAGCACATGGTGGGGTTGTGGCCTTGGAGATAAATGAGATATAATTGTTGTTTAAACCACCAATACTTGGCCCATCCATCGGCCACAGAGAAGGATAGACTAGAAACATTTCTAGCCGGATGAATTTGAGTGCTCATGTAATGGCCTGTACATTTTATAAAATTGTGGCTTGTTAACAGACACGACTTTAGGAAGCACCGCTGGTGAAAGCAAATCCCCTGACAAGGGTGAAATGTATTTTCTCATACTTCAAGTATGTCGCATGAAGGTCGATCAAACGTGTACTGTTCGAGAATTCAGCGCACATGTTCGACATTGACTAGTTTTGAGTACGGCCTGCACAGATGTTTTTTAGTCAACGCAAAAGGATGAAGTAGGATAATGATGCCTCTTATGGCGATGTTCGTAGAAGGTAGATGAGAGAGAGTGTGCTTGAGCCTAAGAGTCGTATGCCATCATACCGATCACCCAAGGGAGTTTAAGTTATCAGAGGCACGACCTTTCACCTAACATGTGTGAAACTATTAAATATATAAACAATTGAGTCACCCTGACTAGATGGTCGAAGCAAGTAGTCGAATATTAAAAAAAAACAGCCTAATCGGATAAGTCAAACGGTCAAACGAAAAATTGAAATAAGGTTTGACAAAGTTTATTTTTTAGGGACTCACTTGAACATGTCGATTTTGGAGTTGTCCATACATACTCCCAGATGTGCATACTAAAAGTTTGATTGGTCATCTGTATGATCAAACCATTGGTACGTTTCCCAACCATTTTTTTCCTTTCGTTGAATTTCATCTAGGTATAAGTTGCTTGTCAAGTTCGTTTTTTTTTAATGACTTTCTAGCACGATGGCACCCCGACACATCATGGCCGATGTGGATGTATGCACGGCTCATCTTAGAAAAATGGTTGGGAAATATAATGAAGGTTGAAGCTAAGGTACCACATTTTAATCCAAAGTCGGTCTTGCCGAACTCCAAAAGGAGAGTGAGTTCATTTTTTTCGTTTTTTACATTTTTCGTATGATGAGGGTGTAGTGATAGTCTGCTTTGATTTTCGTCACAGGTACCTTGAGGGCAGTGATTGTACCTACCTCAGACTATAAAATATAAGACAATTGTTGAGGTTTAACCACAACGAAGGTTAAGGTGAATTATCACTTTCAGTATCATTGGTTAGCGGACTCTTCAAGCTGTAAAGGGTTCAGCCTCCTCATAAGTTGGTGAAACTTTGATGAAACAGTCTCTCACAGCCCCTCGTTTAAAATAACGTTAATAGGTCTATTAATCTTCAATATTTACATAGGTGCTATAACTTTGAACACCCCCCCTTCAACAAAACAAACCAGGGGGGTGGGGGAGAGATAATTCATATTTTTTAACATCTTCACCACTTCAAAATTTTAAGAATCTTAAACAGTAATATGCATATGGACAATGAAAATTGTAAAATTTATGAAGTATAAAATTATATTTTTTTTGAAAATTATGAACACCCCCTTTTACAAAAAGTTTTACAAAAAGGCAAAAACATGGGCAAAAACGAAAAAAAATTAGAACTTTCGACATCTTCAACACTTCAAAAATTTTAGAATTTTTAGAGTTGGCATACATTCGGACACCCAAGATGGGGGGGAACGCGTTCAAAATTTTCAGCATCTTCTTCACTTTGAAGTTTCACGAATCTTTAACGTCAACATTTATTTGAATATAGGAGGGACATTCAAAATATCTGGTATCTTCACCACTTTATAATTTTCAAAATATTCACTGTTTATCCCAAAGGGGGCATGCAATATTTCCAGCACCATTGAGATCATTGAAAACCAGTTTCATCAAACTTTAAAATTGTTGAATGTTTTTTCACTTCCGAATAAATTTAAACAAAAATTTAGTCAGTAAATGACTGTTTGTGCTTCGGTAGCACTCAACTACGGTTTAATATAGTCAAGTTCAACGTTAATGGTCGAGGTCGTCACAACAAGGCCATGTTATGCCGGATATCAGTGGTGTGTTTATAATGTATTTTGCAACCATAACAATTTTTTTTTTGTTTCGTGAGTGTTTTGTTGGTTTATGATGAGGTCTAAACCTGCAGTATGTTGAGTTTTTTATCTTCTATGAGTGAGCGATAGTTTGTTTTGGTTTTAATCACAGGTAACTTGATAGCAATGGTTGGTGTTCATCTCAAGGTATCAGTTGTAGCAATGGTTGGTGTTCATCTCAAGGTATCAGTTGTATGACAGTTGTCGATGCTTAACCACAACCACAATTAATGTGGATTATCACCTTCGATATCAATGTTTAGGGGATTATGCTGACTTGAGAGGGTTAACCCTCCTTATGAGTCAGTGAAACTTCAATGAAACAGTGTGTCATAGCCCTTTAATTGTTGTCCTCTTCTCTTTCTTTGCCTATGGTTTTCGCACGCCTCTCTCTCTCTCTCTCTCTTCGAGAGTCTCTTGGAGAGGGGGGAAAAAATCGATATTTATTTTTCTCTTTTAATATTTATCGTGAAAATGCACATCCATTCACGTCCCTTGGAAAGGCAGAGCGCATTCTCATCTCAATGGAGAGATGCTAAGTCTACAATTTATTCAAGACAAGGACCAAAACAACCTCAAAAGAAAAAGAAACAAAACAAAATCAACCTCAATGGTTAGTCAACTTCTAACATTTTGCATATTTAAAAAAAACAAACGATAGGGCGATGTTCCACGTCCATTTTTCAACAACAAATTCGGCAGTTTCATTTTGTTGTGCAACCAAGAGTAATCCCCAATTAAAAACGCATTATTTTAAATTGCCAAAATGATTCATCGCTTGAAAAACAATTATGCGACTAGTATACAATTACAACTTTCGGAGGTCAGGGAAGACACAATAGTAAGTGCAATGGGAGAGGAAATCCATGGACGAAGGAAAAATGACAATGGATTCCAAGATGTTTTGTTAGTTTATGTTATGCATATGTTTCCACATGTAAGAGTACAAATGGTAATGATGTGTTCGACCACAGTTATGAGCAACCATGGGTGAACATAAAGGCAATGCTGCAGTGAAGGAGAATCTTCATTTTTCCATTTGATTTCAATTTTATTTTGAGGAAGTAGAATCTCAACTGTTCCTAATGCGACTCCCTAGGAAACACTCAAATATATGTCGGCCCTTTCTATTTGAGGGTATTCATTATACTTACCACTTCCCATAATCTATCAGTAGGTCCAACATAAGAGGTGGTGTTAATACCAACCAACAATTTTTCCTTAACGATTCCCCTTCCAAGTCTAGCAAAGCCTAACATGCATACCATTCTCAATATTTGTATGAATAGTTGGGTGAAGTATTGGTGGTTCAAAAACTGCAGAGCTCGAACCTAATTTGTTCAAAATACTCGGTGCCAGACTCTTTCGAATGTTGGCCCATGCAATTTTCACATTGTCTAGAGTAATTGTATTTTTTTTTTCCGATGTAGAATGTGTCGTGTTGTGCGATAAAAAAACTTGTGCAGTGAGTAACACGAGTTGTGTGATGGGTGTCAAACTTGGTAAAAGTGATTCGTTGTGATGAACAATATAAGTGATGGTCTGTAATGAGCAAAATAATGGCAGTACCATTGTAACATATGAAGGAAACATCGAGTTAGGGCATGCAGTATCCTGCCGAAAAGAAAGGTAACGAGGCCCATCCACGACTCACCACTGTTTATGGGGGTTGGCAAAAACTGGAACTGAATGGAATGAAACCAAACACTTCCAACCAATCAGACCCGAAAAGGGGTGGATATAATTAAAATAGTTTTTTTTGTGTTAATGGGGTCTGCAACTTTAAACCACCACTACCTTTCAGGCAAGAAGACGAATTTGTAAATATAACCTATATCGCATTCTCGGGAGGCTGATGGAGGGTAGGCACCTCTGCACCCGAATGGCCGACAACACCAGTTAAAACAAAACAAAAAATTACCTATATCGCATTCTCGGGAGGCTGATGGAGGGTAGGCGCCTCTGCAGTCGAATGGCCGACAACACCAGTTAAAACAAAACAAAAAAGGTTGCGTTGGCGCCTTGGCACAAGCTTGGCACGCAGTTGTACTTTACCTCAACAAAAAAAATCTCAAAGGAAGTGGTGGTTAAAGAGATTAATCAAACCATGCTAAGAAACACAACCCCTCT